ACAGTGACATAGGTAATAGTGGATTTCAAGCTATTCTCTCGTCTTTACCAGATTCATTAATTGTATTACACTTTACACATAATTGTCTAGATGCAAAAATTTTACCTTGGTTTGAGAATTTTATCAAAACTCATCCAAAGATTAAAGATGTTTCTCTCGAAAATAATCCTATAACTCTTAACAGTGCACCTAAATTAGATGTAGCTGGTTTGATAGATCAAATATTAAAAATTACAAATGCAAATCAGTGTAATTGTTATTTGGAAATCTACACAAAGATCCAAGATATAATTGCTGAAACAACGCGTTGCATTTGGTTACCTAGAGAGCATAGACGAGATTATGATTTACTCGAATTATACAATGAAATGAAGAAAAATCCAACGAAATATTGGTCAATAAATATGAGATCTAATTCTAATATGTCACTTAATGCATATAATATTTTTCTTGATATTCTTAATTGTGATATTCGTGTTGCTGAACTTTATCTTGGAGAGGATGATATGAACGAAGAAATGCAAAAATATTTTTTCAAAGATTTTCGTGATAATAATACAGTGGAACATTTGGATATATCACACAATAAACTTTGCAGTCAAGCTATGAAATATATTGGATCTTTTTTAAAACATAGCTCCAAAACTTGCGTATTTACATTACGTAAATGTCAAATTGATAGTGAAGGAATTCGTTATTTATGCAAAGGCTTGTCTGAAAGCCGTTTATATAGTTTATCTTTAATTAATAATCCACTTGGTAATGATTCCTGCGCAAGACTTTTTTCATCTATTCCTCCTTCATTGAAGTCATTATCACTTTGGGGTGATGACATACCTGAGTCATCCTTACAAACAATTATTGATTTTTTGAATACAAATAAAACATTAGAAACACTTAATCTGAAGTTCAATCCAGTTTATGATAAGCATGTCGATCAATTAGAACAAATAGCAAAACAAAATGGTATTTGCAAATATGCCACACATCCTGAATAAGAACATCATCTATATGACGCGGCTTAGCTGAGTTAATATGAACTATCACATAACCACTAATTCTTTTTACCTTTTATTCTTTTTTAATACTAACAGAATTCAATATTAATGTAATTTTACAGTACTATTCAAAATTCTTACCGCTAGAAAATAATTACAAATTTGACTTTTCCAGGAATATATGTTCGTTGGCTATACTATACGTTGGCTATATAATATTGACACTACATTTTTGTAACAGAAGCATGGGATGCGCTCGTGCTATTCATCACGAAATAAAGATATCATCAATGCCTATCTATTACAATATAAATAAATTGAAACAAACAAATTCACTCAAACAATGAAGAGAGAATGATCGACTATGTGCCACACGGAAATAGAAAAAATCTATATTGCTCAATATATTCAATGTAAGAATCAAATAACCCTCAGTGAAATTGAAGAAAAATTATCTTCTTTCTGCTGCTAGACAAGAATTTTGTCAAAATTAGTGTTTACAACAAGATAATGATCCTAAGCATACTAGCAATATTGCCAAACAATTCATCAACAACAAGGTGCCACAATTATTGACGTGGCCATCCAATAGTCCAGATGTTAATTCTATCGAGAACTTATGCTCGATCGTAAAACGCTAAGTTGAAAAAAAGAAAACCGAAAAATATTGATAAACTAGAGTTTTTTTATGTGAATTAAGACTTTAAAAATATTGATGTTAATATTGTAGAGAAAATTGTAATGTGGATAAAAAAACGATGTTTGTCTCTTATTGAATCTTAAGGCGAACGAATAAAATATTGAAGTATAGTGTTTAATAGTACTCGACATAGGCTATCAATCAGTAATGGAAACTACTTGAGAGTGACTTATAAATGAGGATATACATACATAACAAGATGTGCAAGTTTTTTTGAATAGTACTGTATAAAATTTCTTTTATTAATTAACTCTGTGTGTGTGTTATATTGTGTTGCACTTTAAAATTTATATGATTTACTGATATCTTTACTGCATTTCTTTCAGACAACTGTACGATACGGATTATGTACATAAATATTATTTTGTAATAATGTATCTATCCCTTTTAGAAGAAGAATAATAACTATAGACACAACGTATATGTCATTTTTTATTACAATTGTTTTTTATATTAATAAATTCAATATGTTATTGCAACAGTATGAAATTACGAAAAACGCAAAGTTGAATTAAACTACTACAGCTACTAAAGTACTGTTCTTCTCTGTAGTATTAATTGGCACCATTGGAATATCAGTAACAGCACCAAGTGCAGTATTTGTAGCAGCAGCAGGTTCAACTTTGGCATTAGGGAAACGTGTTTTTAAATAACAAATAAGACCACCAATGATCAAAAGTAACGCGGGAATACCAATACCCATAGAAAGACCAAAAATCAATGCCAAGTTTGGTTCATCTTCAAATCAATATAAAATATTTTAATATATGTTTAGATAATTAGTTGCTTACCTTCTGAAGGAGGAGTTACTTCTATTGCTGATGTTGTTGTTGTTATCGCTGTTGTTGTTGTCTCTGTTATTGTTATTGTTGTTGTTGCTATTGTGGTTGTTGCTGTTATGGTTGTT